TTACAGGTAAAATTATACTACTAAAAAGTTAGGGTGTTGAGTGCTCTTGAGAAATAAGGTTATGGGTATTGCACATTTACCGCTCTTCTTTTTGCTACAAAAAATTTTAGGTGAGTTCGGTCCCGGCAACTCACCAAGGACAAAGCATGTCTTCAGGTTTAGAAGAAGCTTACAGAGGTACTTGTAGATTGCCCACCCCAATAAGGTTCTCACATCAACAGCGAGATTCGAATTCATGATCTTGTACATTATGAGCTGACTCCTTGTCAACTAGATCAACTCTTATTGGTTACATTTTATTGAATGTATCTTCATCAATAACTAATTGTGGATACTAGGCATGACAAACAGATAATACTACCTCCAATCCTTAATATAAGAGCTATTAATTAGAGATTAGATTTGGTTAATAAATATAATATCTCGATCCATTTTATCTCTTAAAATTATAATGCTTTCTATAGAATATCCCTATTGGAGTTTGTACAAATGGATAGTTACAATGCACATAATATAAAAATGATAGTTCAGAAAAGTTAGCACACATTTGTGACAATTAACTAACTAATTTTTTTAACCTTCTCAAATTAGTTATCTAGTTTTTATATTAACTATTAGAGGTAGTAGTATTTATATCTATGTAATTGGATCACTAAATCTACTGTAATTTAATAACAATTTTATTCTTTAAATAAGATTGTCTTTTATGATGAAAAGAATCAAGCTTTCAAACTATGTTATATTAACCAATAAGATGGATGCTTGCTAGAATGTATTGTCACATCAATAGCAAGGGGTAAATACAAAAATGTGCTACTTGTAAAATGATAATTAAACATATCTTCACTACTACAAAAAAGTCTTTTACATCAGTTAAATGGCCATTTGGCATCAGAAAAATGACCGGTGTAGAAACAAACAGTGTCAGAAGTCTGCACTTTTTACACTGGTTAGGAAACTGGTATAGAAAACTATGATTTTAATAGCAATTATTATTCCAACTGGTGTAACAATTGAAAATTTAAATAAAAAAAGGTCTACTTCTTAGACCACCAATCTAAAAACTGAACCTTTTTTTATTTAATTTTCTTATACTAGCAAGTTCTTTTAATGATTGAATATTTCTTTTACCAAACAAAAGAAACTGTAAGAACACAAAGTCTAGCAGTTAACAATATTAGGGTTCAGAAAAATAGCTCATTAAGGTGAATGAAAATGAAGAAAGATAAGTTACCAATGGTTGACAAGGACGAAGAAAACGAAGGCCAATTCCTTTTGTAAGGATGAGTTAGATCTTTGACAAGTACTAGGTCAATCAAGGTACTACAACTTGGATCTGATCATACTTGAATGTGTTAGAACAACTAATCACCTAAGAGGGGGTGAATTAGGTGTTCCAAAAATTTTAACTTCAAGCGTATACAACAAGTAGGCTAAGAAGAAAGTATTAATTGAGAAGATAGAGATGCGGATGAGGAAGAATAATGTACAACAAGTTTAGCCTGGTTCGGTCTCTGTATAGACCTACATTCAGTCTCTAGGCTCCACCTGAGATTTTCAATCCACTATATTCCTCAAGTTTAAATCGAATGCTTTAGAACCACTACAACTCCCTCAAGTTTTTCATGGGTATTTGAGAGCCACTCCCCCTTACACCTAGTAAGGTTACAATTTGTTTCTCATTCAAGATTCCTCAATCTTGAGCAACTTCACAAAGATTGATGTTTACAATGAAAGCATTCTTCTCTTTATGAAGTAGATTTTCTTAAACACTAAAGCATGATAAAAATATGATTTTGCAACTTTAAATGTAGAAGTGAGAATCTCATAATCTTGACATTATGAATGTACCTGCTCTCTCTCTCTCTCTCTCTTTTCTTTTTTTAAATTGAATGCTCTTCTATTTATAGATGATATTGAGCATTTGATCGTTGAGCATCTTCTTCCCATTTGACTTGAAGAATATGAAGGTTGAAGCTAGCTATTGGAAGCTTCAAACATAAACTTTCATCATTTTTCTGTTGGGTAATTGATCCTCCATTAACCTTGCTTAAGAATGTCATTAGTAAGTCATAGTAGTGAGGATAAATAAATGGTGATCAATAATCAACTCTTAAACAAGTAAATATCAGTTAGTTTAAAGATCAAATATCAAAGCTAAAAGATTGATTATCAATAAAGAGCTCAATAACTAACATTACGGTAGTCTTATTGATAATTGTTCAAAATGATGAATGAAAACTTGAAGTTCATTATCGATAATAAGTTTTATCAATTAAATGACCAAAAGATGTGAAAACTGAAGTGTGTGAAATCTTGAAGTTCATTTTTGATAAACAATTTTATTGAAAAACTTATCAATAATTGTCTGAAAGAGATTAAAATGATTATTGACAAAACTTATCAATAAATTAAAAACTAAAAACTTGCAAAGTTCTTGCATTTTTTGATAACTTTATTCGATAAAAGCATTTATCGATAATCTTATCAATAAGTATTAAAGAGATAAACTTAAAGAAGTCCATTTCAGAGTTAAACCAAACAAGTTATCAATAATCTTATTGGCAAACAAAATTATTGATAATCTCATTGATAATTACTATTGAAAATCTTTTTTTGAAATTATGATGAGCTTTTCTTAGAAAATATTATTGATAAGGTGTTCGTTAAAAGCAAGACTTAGAAAATTATCAAAATGGTCTTATTGAAACCTTTATTGCAGAGGATTATCAATAAAAGTATCAATAAACCAAAAACTTAGCTTTTAAAAACTAAAAAGATAATCAAACACTTTGAAATTTAGGTATAATTATTGAAGTCGTTATCGATAAACTGTTATCAATAAACTTATCAATAAATGACTCTTTTCTTGAAACGCTATGAATTATTGAAAAGCTTATTCATAATTAGAATTATCAATAACTTTATTAATAAATATTGATTCAACTTTTGAAAACAAATTTAAAACTTTTTGTTGAAACAATCTATCTTATAATAGAACTTCTGATGCAAGCAAAATGAAGGTCAATTTTGAGTGACATAAATCGTTCAATTCAACTTCAAATATTGCAAATGACTTATCACCTAAAAGTTCCTTGAGTCTACTTTCCAACACAATGAGTCCCACTCCAAATTTCATTATAGTTTCAAAGTTATCTTTATCATAGTAACCAAAAGTCAAGGATAAGGGGTGAAACCTTAGTATCATTTTTCGAGCAGCATTTCTCCTTTATACAAAACTCATTGGAGTTGATCTTAGTGTCTATTAATCATGTTCTGAGTCTAGTTTCATATGGATTAAGTTCACCTGAAATGGATTTATAGATTAGTATAAATTATAGAAATACCTAACATATGTTGAAGCTAAATGAACAACAGAGCATAATAGAGTAGTGATTTTTCGAAAGGTTATGGATAAACATGTTTATCAATAATGAACTCAAAAAATACATGTGAAAATCATTTCTGAAGGTTATATTCAAGTTTAGATGAAGGGTGACTCAAGGTATGTTGATATAACTTCCAGTTGAACTTGAATATCAAATCTAAGAATTTAAATCTTGATATTTCCATTTGATCTTGTAGATTCTTTTTCTTCTATCTTTATTCTTCTTTTTTTAATCAATCTCATGATCACTTCTTTCTTTTCTTGACCAAACTACACAAGATAATCATATTAAATATAGTAGTTAATCAAAGCATAAGAAAAACATTTGATACAAACTTTTTGCTCTAATATTTGACATCATCAAACCGATCATATCTAATAGAATAACCAAATACTTGGCAGAGTTCCTCATCCTATTTAATGGACCAAATACAGTGACGATGCCTCAAGCCTCAGACATCTTGCAACCTTTAATGAACAGATTCAAAACTAATTTTGAACAAAAAGAAACTGGTATTAGGGTTCAGGCAAAGAGCTAGTGGGAGAAATAAATAGAGATGATGTTACTATAGTGAGAATAAAATGACAGAGGCCACAGATAAGGACATTACTAGCGAGTGACGAAAGACGACTTGAGCACTCCAAGACATCTCCATATTTCTTTTTGAGAGCATTGTTTTTCGTATTCTAAGATCATGAAATTGAAGGAGAGAGGACCTCATTTATAACTAAGGCAAAAAGTTTACACTGATTGACATAGAAACGTGTTAAAAACACATTTTACATCGAACACAACATAACCTGTATAAATGTTAAATGTTACATCGAACTTGAAAACACCTGGTATAAAGCTCCCAAAAAATAACCAGTTGTTCTTCTCTTTCTTTAAACCAGCCAAAAAAATACTATAGTTTTACGAGTTTTAGGGTTTGTTATTAAAAATCAAAAAGAGAAAAATGCATTAAAGAGAACAAATATAAGAGTAGATCATCAAAAAATATCATATATACATTTATATACAATTGGTGGGGGCATAATAGCCACCTTTTAAAAAAGACTACATTGTTACAACTAAAAAAAAAAAAAACTAGTAGCGGAAGGAGGAGGAGGCTTTTTCATCGGACAATGAGTAAGAGGTAGCGGAAGCTGTTATCCATGTCGTCATACTCAATGTGCCTGTCATCAAGTAGGAGGTTGACTTTATTGTTGAGGGTGTAGAAGTAAGACAGCACATGACAAAGGCTGTATTTAATCACCACTACTCCCGTAAGTAGGTGGTCAAAAAGAGGTGAAGGCAGGGGATGCAGGGGAGGGTGGTAGAGAGGGGGACACTACTACAGTAGAGACTTTTTACCTCTATTCTAGAAGACATTTTTACCTTTGTTTTGAGAGGACCACAAAAAAAAAAAGAGATAATAAGTACCCCACATTTTACTTCTATTTTAGACAAATAAGAAAAATCAAACTTTTCATGTCTGTTCAAAAATAGAGGTAAAAAGTGCCACTTTTCACGTCTGTTTTTGGAAAAATAAAAGTAAAAAGTAACTTTTTTTTATTAAAAAAAACATTTTTTTTGGTTGGATTAGAAGTGATTTAAAGATTTTAAATCAAATCCAACAAAAAATGCCCTATACTTATTATCATTATATAATTACATGCTCAAAGAATAATTTATAAATAAAAGCACAATAATCCAAATCTCAATATACACTAATAACAAGTGTTATGCAAGTACTCAAAAGTCACAATAATAAAGTCAAATCATACTAAAATAACATAAAAGTATCTAATACAAGTAAAACCACAAACTTAATAGCTGATACTTGTGTCATATAAGTCTTATGGCTATCTTTTGGTGCTTAAACTTCAACTTCATCACCTGCTCTCACCACCAGTCCTCATGGCTGTCACAAGAACTTGACACTACTGCACAAGAGAGGATCAGGTGGGTTCAGAAAAACTACGAGATTTCCTCAAGGTCTTCCACCATAATGCAAAAATAATAAAAGAAAATAGAGCAAACCATGCAATAGACAAGGATTTTTTTTTTTTTGGGGAGGGGGAGAGCAAAGCTCTTGAGAGCTTCAAATGCCTCCGGATATCGGATAGATGAGGCAAAATAAAAGCATAATTGACAAGGATATAGGAAAATCACTAGAAATATGCAGCTTTCTTGTGAAAGTAATTAGTGCAATTCTCTAAGCTTCTCAATATCATCATATAAAGACATATTAGCTGGTGCATTTTTTGCCACTGCAGACCGTGATCATGATGATTATCTAGTAGCATATATCACAATTATAAAAGCATATATGAATTTTCAGACTTCAGTTTATTTATATTGTTCATTTAATTAGATTGGTCACAAGTGAGTTTTCTTCTTGATTTTTTCTTTTTTTGTTTCTTGCCCGCACATGTCTTAATTGGCATAATAAGTTACTAAATAAATTATAATTTTTTTATTAATGTTATATATGCTCAGGAAGTGACAAGAACATCTTTGAAACATTGCACCTTACACTGAGATGAGCCCCTCCCTCCCTTTTAAATGACAGTTGTTAGTTTCTGACATGCCTTGTCATGGTTTTGTTTTGTGGTAGCTGAGTCAAATTATAAAGGTACAGGAGTTCAAATAGACATAAACACTTGCAGACTCATCGATGACAAAGGCTATAAATATATAAATAGTAGCACGCATCATATATGACGTCAAGAAACATTTTATTAGAAGAAAAGTGCATGTATGTGGAAGAGAGTAGTAATGAACCTTAAAAGCTTTGAAATTGTATCATCACCTGGACAATCTTCACATGCTATGCTCAATCATCAACAGCATCCTAAAAATAATTAAGAATATAGCAAATAAAATAAGTATATTAGAAGAACAAAAGCCATCGAAAGTCTAAACAAATCCTCATATAAGAAGAGTAAGCATACCTTTAGCAGACCAAGTTCCTTGGAAGCTTGACCTCTTCGATAAAGAGCTTTAAGATTTTTTGCATCATAAGCCAAAACTGTGGATATATTTTGAACCCAAAACTTGCTAATGCGTCAACTCTTAATGACGCTTCTATGGTTTTAAATGAGTTGGTTCTACATAGCAGACAAAATTGGTAGTGTGCCGCAAAAATGTTATTAAGTATGAAGAAGTTCAAACCAGGACTAGTGATGTAACTTGGGGGTTCATAATTAAGAGAAATTAACGGTAACTTGCTGCAAGATACAAGAAAACTACCAAACTAAACAAGAGAGATGCAATCAGAACAACTTAGATAATATATCTAAATCTATTATTCATATCCTACAAATATAATTATAAGCTAGTAATGTTTGCAACAGAAACAATTTTTTTTGGGGTCATGTGTAACAAACGAAGTTAGATAAATAATTCAGAGAAGACTAGTAGTATTAAAGATGACTATTTTAAATATTTCATAAAGCACATTAAAATATTGGCATTATGTTTATACTCTTTATTGGAGATAAAAGTAACATGCCTTAACAAATCTTACAAGACTAGCGAAACAAGATAGTTGGCAATTTCCATTCCACAACAAGGGAAAGAAGTGAGTATCCGCTACTTTTCTTTAAAAACAATTATTACCTTAGAGCACCCGTTTTCCAACTCTTAGCATCCTTAGTGAGATCTCAACCTACATAAATTGATTGTGTAATAAATAACTTCAAAAAATTGTAAATCCCGCAGAATTCAAGTAAAATAAATTCAAGCTTTCAAGTCCGTATCACCAGAAAGAGTCATTCATGGACTGCGTTGCTAATTTCATCTATTGACCCCAAATTTATTCACGTCAACTTTCATGGAAAAAACGATGTTGGACATCTATTGCAAGAATTTCAGATCCTTTCATAAGAGAAGCTGTAAAGTTTGTAAGAATAGTAACGTAATAGTGGCCACAATTCATAAAATTTTAGGAAGTTGCATCTGGAATTTCAAGAAGTGACTTCTAATAGTTAAATTACCAAGACAAGTAATCCACAAATATGAGCCATGTTCCTGAACACAAGAATGCCAAGCAAATCATACATTTAGATCAGACCATTAACTCTTTGACCAGAACTAAAACATAACTGAGACTAAACAACTTAGGGTTTGTTTGGATTAACGTTACAAAAGTGCTTATAAGTATTTTCACACAAACGTTTAAAAAACTATTTATAAGTCATTCCAAACTGGTTCAAGTACATTACTACTCTAATACAGTAGCCACTCAGTTTATTGAAACAAAGGACCGTCAAAATAGCCCCCCAGTCCTCTGTTTCTAAGATTCTCATCCTTATCAGTCCTTTAATTAACAGCATCAAGCAATATGAGGATATGAAATTCACGATCACTACCGTACCTGCCATGAAGCCAAATCCTAACACCTCTATTTCATTCACTATAATCTCCAAGTTCATCGATGACCCGGTGCTCCCTAGCTTTGGATCTCGCTCCGATATCATCGATTTTACATTGCAAAGCTCATAAGGTGTCGGACCATCATAATCAAATTTATAATGCTCGCATACCGATCTTCCAATTCATCGTGGAGGTACCCGAAGATGATCTTCGATTGTTGCTCTCTAAGTAGCGTCCGTCCCGACACTCAACAGAATCGGCGTCACCAAGCTGGAACTCCTCTGTTTTCCCAACTTATCGTCGCCCCCTTCTGATTCCCCCCACTCACTGAACACTCCACACCATCAAAGCCACGTTGAGGCAACAGTGTCTGCGCATCGAGGGAGAGAGATCGCGCGAAGTATGCATGCTCAGAGGTAGAGAGCGGAGCACGCTATGCACGAGCTGGCGTGGGGAAGAAGCGGTAGGGCATAAATACAAAACTAAAGAAATAAAATAAAAAAGGGTTAATACAATTATTAGTCCTTACACTTTTCATTCATTTTGGTTTTGATACCTGAAGTTTGAAATTTTCAGTTTTGGTCCTTTAAGTTTACTCCATTTAAAACGTTAGTCCTTATATTTTTAAAAGAACTTGGTGTCACCTTTAACACTGTTAAATATGCTGACATGTCATTAACTCTGTTAAATATGCTGATGTGGAAGCAAGTAGACTAGTTGAGGTGGACTAACTGGAAATTTGGGATAATGAAGCGTGTTATAATAATAATGTAAAATGTACAAGCAGAGCAACCTCAAGAAAAATAAAAATGCTATCAGGTCGTCGGTAAGCCCGCCGGCAGTGACAGATAAACCTGACTCTGCACCACCATTTTATCCATCTTGAAACCGGGAACAATTGTGAAACTCACCCGATGCTCAACGGCACCACCGGAGCCACCACCGGTTTCTTCACTCCCTGACTCTGAAACTGATTCCGATTCAGTGACATTAACACATTCCATGTACACCTCAGAGAATCTACTGTTCTTCTTCACCTGAAAGATGCTCACTTCATCATCAAACGACAATGCCAGAAAATGTAGGTCCCAGACATGCTTCGCCATCTCAGCGAACGAAGTGAAGAAAGCAGAATCTGGGAACCCCCCAGAGTTCACTTGCTTCCTCTGGTTCAAATTCCCAAACAAGGAACACTCCATCTTGGCGTGAACAAGTTGAAAGTACTTGGATTTTTAGAATTTTCCGAATGACGATGTTGGATTGTGGGTTAGATACTATTTCGGATTCAAAGATTTGAGCTTTTTGAATTTCTCAAAGTAGAGGTTTTGGTTTTGCTTGTGGGGTTTTCTCCCACTGGGCTCATTCGGGACAGTAAAGTTTTGGAAATTGAAACCTTTGAAAATTGTTAAACATACGAATGATTCAAATGCAAAGTATATGTGACTCGATTTGGCAAATACTGCATGTGGGTGAATGAATTTCGCAGCTGCTTGAAGATCCCAATGAGCAGATTCCATTTATTTTTTAATCTTTTATAAACCACCTCAGCTAGTCCTCTTGCTTCCATATCAACATATTTAACAGAGTTAGTGACATGTCAACATATTTAACAGTGTTAAAGGTGACACCAAGTCCTTTTAAAAATACAAGGACTAACATTTTAAACGGAACAAACTTAAAGGACCAAAACTGGAGGTTCCAAACTTCAGGGACCAAAACCAAAATGAATAGAAAGTATAAGGACTAATCATTGTATTAACCCAGTAAAAAAAGTTATAAAAATTTTGAAGGATGTTTTCGTCCGTTTTTTTAAAAAAAGACAAGAATATTCCTAATAGTATCTTCTGTTCTTAAAAACAAACGAGAATATGTTTTATTCTCGTCTGATTTTGAAAAACAAATGAGGATACACTTTGTATTCTCTTCTGTTTTAAAAAACAGACAAGAAAAGTAACTTTTCTTCTCTGTTTTTAAAATAAATATAAGGGAGGTCAAAAGTGTATTTTGTTGTAGTGGGAGGAGGACAAGACCAAGGATGTGTTGAAACGGTTTCCTGCAGTTTTACCATTATGGGGCAATCGGCATTAGTACAGATTACTTTAGGACATGGTGATTGTTCAAGTTCATATTATTTCAGGGAAATGAAAAGGCTAGAATAGGCGATATAAAAATTAGTAACATCGGTTGTTTAAATTACTGATGTCATTTTATGTGTCTTAACACAGGCTGGATTAATGTTTGATGTAAAAAATCAGAAAGACCAGCGGGTCATGGTTCAAACGGTTAGATTGGTTAAACCGTCTGGTTGAACCGGTGACGCAATAATTAAATAAAATATTAATATTATAGGCATATATAATAATGCATATGTAAAAAATAAAATATTAAATTGTTAGTTAATTTAAAAAAAAATAATTAAATTTCATGATTTTAGAAGAAATTCAACTCATCATAATCATAATTAAAACAATACATTATCTATGCTAATATACTTTTATCTTTATATCAATTATACATGTAAATCATAATTATAAAAATTAAAAAATATAATAGGAGTACAGTGAAAAATAACATAGCTTATAAATTCTTTCCCAAGCGGGTAGTGAAGCAAATAATTATATATAATTAATATTGGTAATTAAGATTAATAAGTGATGGGATGTGCTAATGGATGTATCAATTCTTCAATCCTTCCAATGTCCAGAAAGATTCGAAAATCTTCATTATTTTTTAATTGAAAAAAAAATTAAGAAATTCAAAAGCGTGCAGCGTGTAGGATGTCAGACACAAAATGAAAAGCAAGTGTCAATTCAAACGGAGCCTTTTATTCTCTCTCTTTCATATGCCGATATGGCTTCTCTTATTCTTCTTGGCTTTCTTTCATCGCACCTTCAGCTCCCTCTGAGTTTTGAGTTCTCAGATTTTCTAAGCATTCCGTTGCTTTCTCCGTTCATCTTACGGTGGCCAACAAAAAGCACTAGTATTTTTCATGATAAGTTTCTTCTATCTCCATCTTTTTTCTTTTTTTCGATGTTAATCCATCTCCTTCCCCAGTTTTCCCTTCACCTTCTTCGTTTTTTTTTCCTGCCGTCCGGTTACTTGCAAACCACTCCGATTCCCAGTTCAAATCCGGCTTCCGGCCTAAAAGCCGGTTCTGAGCGGTTGAAACTGGCCTAACCCCTCAAACGGTTTAAAGCTCCAAACCAAGCCGACAAAGTGACTGGCTGACGGCCGAACCAATCCAATCGTCCGGTCTGGTCTGGGTTTCAAATCATTGGTACGATGTATATTTGGAAGTAGTTATTAAATAGGGAATGGGCAAAAATGAAAAAAGTCATATATAAGATAGGTGAGAAGCTAGCTGCTATACCTGCTTGTTAGGATGCTCTTGACAAGTTAGATCGAGAATCAAGGGTCTCTTTGTTTCAATATAAAACAATAATTCTAAAATTATTTTAAAATATTATCATTAAATATGTTTTATAAAATCTTTAAATAATGAATGATATAAAAAATATTTTCTTAAGAAATTTGGTTGTTTTAAAATTTTAATCCAAGAAATCTATAAAAATGAAAATTTTAAAAATATTATATAAGAGTGATTGTTTTAAAAACAAACAAATCTCATATTTAGTTTAATAAAATTATTAAACTAAGACTCCTCCAACTCAAGTCAAAGTCCTCCACGTACACTTTGACCAAAAAAAAGTCCTCCACGTACACCTGCCTGATGAGACACGCAACGTACATTTCCCTTAAAATGTGCTTATTGTACGGTAGCTACGATCATTTGTATTCATTTCACACCATGTTTGAAAGGTCATCCACGGCGTCTAGTGGCGTTTATTTTTTCAATATGCAACAACCCTCGACTATTTAATGTTATATCAAACGGAAATTTGCTCTTGTTGCTGTTTCAGAAAGATATTAAACTAAAATTTAACAAGGTTCCTTTTTTATTTTATATATTTTAAACATGTATACACACAAACATGTTAAACTCAAGATTGAGCGTGTGCAACTTTATCTAAATATAGTAGATGGAATTGTTACCGAGACAATTTACTATTGATATTTAACAAGATTTTTTTTGGCACCAATCAAAGAAATAGAAGACAGTGATTGAGTATATCTGACTAAAAATAAAAAATACCATTTTTTTTTAATAATTCCTCTCAATTGCAAGTTGTATAAAATTTGAACGTACCTACCTACCTTCGTATTCAATATTATGTATTCAAAGGGTTTTTCATATGATGCAGATAATGGTATTTTCTATGTTCATTTTTCATATTTATATCCGTACAGATAGCTCGCAATATCCATTATAGCTTGCGTGATAACACTCTTAGCTTATTCTTTAATGTTTATTATTAGAAATCAAAGTTCTTTTTGTGAAGACAATAAAGTTGCGTCACTTAGCTTGTAAAATAATTTATAAATCAACAAGTTGGATGTTTGCTGCAATGTATTTGTGGTTTGTCCCATAGCAAGGGATAAAGACATTAATTATAATATGTAACTTTCAAGAAAAATATAAATTTTAAGTTCTTAATGTTGGACGCCAAAGAGCGTCACTACTAAAAAAAAAAAAACCATTTTCGTCTATTCTATAGGATTTTTTTCGTCTGTTTAAAAGGAGACGTAGACAAAAGAGATGTAGATAGAAGTTATATGTTCATCTGTTTTTAATAGACAAATAAGTAAGGTATATATTCGTTTGTTTAGGAGAACAGAATAATATGCAAGCATATATTCGTCTGTTCTGGCCAGAACAGACGAATATAGTGATTTTTTTTTTAAAAAAAGTGAAATTATTTATATTGTCAGTTTTTATTATAACTTATAATTCTAAAGTGTATGAAGTAAAATCAAAACAAAAGTAACAATGACAACAATTTAGCAGAACCAAGTCATGTTACACTTTTTATACAAATCACAATTTTAAGAGTCGAAGCAAATGACAATAACAACATCTAAATTAGCTTAGTTAAGAAAAAAATAAATACCTTAACTCAGTCATATAACACAAGAAAGTTTAAAACTGAAAAATCTAATCATATCCTAACTTATTTAAATAGATATTTTAACTTTTAGAATCTCATATCTTTCTAAAATTTAACATGGAAATTAAACATTGAGGACACTTAATTAATTATCATATTCCAATAAAATTTCTCTTCTGAACGTTTTCAC